TTCAGCCTCGAAAACGCACAAGTATCGTTAGTCTTCATGCGATAAGTGGGACCCATCTGTTCCGAGTAACCGAATTAAAACCGAAAGCTGGTAAAAACATCATTTCCCACTAAACATAAGAATGCGTAGTCAAGAAATATGAAGGTATCTCAAATATCCAAATACAGATAAATTATCTTTCGAAAAACTAACGTCTAAATCTGAAATTTGAATAGAAGTTTCACACGTTTTCACTCTTATCGGAGAGTGCTTTAGGACTTGATATCTCTTGATGGAGAGATGAGAATTTTCCTGACCCTAATTTGAAGTTATTTGTATGCACACACGTCGGAAATGTTCAGTGTCATACTCTTCCCTCCCTATCATACGAACAAATATTTCATGAAAACGGCAGTGAATTGAATATATATACTGTGCTTTTGTGTACATTTTTTGCCTGAGCTGAGTGATTTACCATTGATGCTGCAATTCGCCCTCTAGAAAACAACTTCAATGTCATTGCCTGGTGAAATTTTCCATCAATGTGTACTCTGGCTTTTCTCATCACATAACCCCTGATTGTTTGACATCTGTGGTTGATAGAGGATTTGAGAACCTACCAACCCAAGGAAAACTATTCTGTTCAATTATTCTTCAACTGATAAGGTGTTGTGAAGAATCGACATATATATATATATATATATATATATATATATATATCACCACTGCGACGAATTCTGCCTTCCATAATAATTACTTCAACAATGATGAATGAAATGAGTACATCAGTTTCACGGGAATCTCTTATGTTGATAAATGAAATTTTCATCGTTTTATGCCAGCAAATCCATCCAACGTCTAGAAAGCTGTTCTTGACATACAGCTACTTTAGAACTGGTAATGTATCATTTAATTCTAAAAATGTTTTTATATTCTAAATAATACTCTCAATAGTTTTCGCTGGGTAATATATATCTGTGTAGATTTCATAAAGAACGGATATCAGTTTGGAAAACTTCGAAAACTGTAATAGACGACACCAACGGGTATCGAAACCAGCACATTCACATCACCAAGAAAGCCATAACATAATTCAGCCAGTTAGTCACTCAACTCCACCCTACTTCCGCAGTCATCAGACTCGTCTTTCCTAAACATAGAGTACGTATGTTCAATCTGTTATGATGGGTGTGGGTAAGCACCACTGAGAAATTCCAAACTGAGACATATTTATTACCTAATGCTCTCAGGTTTTCGGTCATTGTTCAGATGATGACGTTCAGTCATAAAATCTACAAAACATCCATCCACATCCAAGCACACACGCGAAAAATGTGAACAAAACATTGAGAATCACTTATATTCACTTATATATCGCCTCTCAGTCGGCACATTAACATCATTTTTCAGGGGATCATAATATCCACCTAATATCCTGATTAAATGGAGTTCTGACAGGAACATTGCATATAATATATCGATTAATGTGGTTAGTAATAACACTAAACGGCCACTTGTCACGAAGGTTTAAATAACCTTGTCTGAATACAATCTGTCCAGTTATAACTGTAATCTGAAAATCAAAACAAATGAGAATCAGTCAGTAGAAAACAAAATGAATGACTACAGTTGACTTTAAACTCTGGATATGCGCAGTTTACGCAATAATAAGTGAATAAAGTTCTCCAACTCGTGAGATATTTAACACTGTTGTGACGAGTGTGAGAAAGAACTTACATGATCAATTATTCGTTTTAAACCTTTCAAATAAATTTTAGTAATTACTACCCAATCCTCCACTAACTTGTGTGTCATCGTTTCAATTTACCTCGATATCCTGTCTCGATTCAATCCTTATTACTGATTCTTCTTTGTAGCTGATTCCTATGCATTCTAGTGATCAAAGACTACTGGTGAGCTGTCAGTGGAAAACGCGGTTGAAATGTTTGACTCTCGGATACAGTTGTTTTATCCATCATTGATTGGAATATTTCACTCGAATCTCAGTGTGTATCTTGAAATGCAAAGCTATCTTAACTCACCGTTCGTCATCACATTTTGTCAATTTTAGAGCCATATACTTGGATTCTGGTCGCTGTATGAATTTAAGGACCAGATTTCTCATTTGTCAATTAATTAAAGATCTACAAGCAGTCCCTTCAGGTCATAATCACTAGTCTACAATGACAGCCTGTTTCCAATCGACATGCGTACATGGTAGCTGCTCATGTCAACCGATAGTGCTTCCTTACTAAATATAAATTATGGAAACAACAGATGATCAGTGATACAATCACATATTTCGATGTGAATATTTTCGGTTTGCTAAGAAAACTACAAACAATTCTTGAAGTAAATTCATGAATTATTCAACTCACTGACAGAAGGAGAATGTTTATTGAGATATCCATGACAAGAATCCTTCCTAGAATTCAATTAAAGAAACAGAATACTATTAGTTCACTGTAAAGAATATTTAAATTTATACAGGAATGGATCAGAAATACTTAGAAATGAAAGGTGAGCTCGTGTGTGTGTGGTAAAAATGTGAACACCATGAAATACAGATTTACTCATGCAGAGTAGCAATATTCTTTTCAATCAGACCTGATCAGCCTTTAATCTAATACACATCGTCCTTACAAATGAATACGAAGTATGAACCCATAGTTGTGATTCCACAGAGGAAGACACGATTGTGAATACAATCCATGCAACTAGTCAAAAAGGCATGCACGCTAATAAAAATGCCGTGAGTATAGTGAAACATGGAACATATTGAGATAAAACATTATGAAGTAATTCAAATCGAAATGGAAGTGAAAAAACTGCGTTTTGACGAAAATGCACGAAGCTTATAGCAGGGTTTCTCATATGGCAATTAAATATACATATGCATGGATGGTGGTGGTATTTCTGATGGTGGTTGTGTTGGTCCGGTCATTTGATTGGGTTACAATACTATTCGCGTTGAGCAGATTTCATCGACGACAATTATTATCCATGATACTTTAACTGCAACTGTGGCAGTGGGAGACGGACGTTGTGTTCGGACGGAATATTATTCTCACATATTGTCACAGTTCATTTCAGCATTAGCAACAGAGTACTATGTATTTGAACATTCTATTTCATGCCGTTTAATGTCATAACCTTAGTCAAACGCCCAATGATTGGTTAGAGAATATAAAACTATTCCTATATAAGTGGTGGTTCGAACGATGATCAGTGCTTCGGTGTCTCGCCTTCTGCTGTTACACTACTATTAATCCGCCTATCTGAGGATTTCCTTGTGTAAACGGTGAAGTCACATTTCATGATCCTCCTTAGAGTCAGTCTTTTTAATTACTCATAATTGATTTCAACAAAATCGAATTTATCTATTTCATAGCCAATCTGATTAGTGACATTCTCAGTGACGGTTTTCAGGTCCTCATAATGCGATGAATGAACACGCCGAGATGGGGAACGCAGGTGAATAACATCTTTGTCATTTTGAATATATCAGTGCAATGTTATTCATCATGCATTTTATTATTTCAATCGTTCATAATTTACTACGCTGAAGTTGATTTGCGTTTTCACGTGTAATTCTCAACCACAAGATGATTAGTTATATGAAACAGCAAATAGAAAGATAGTTACTCACAAACTTTTGATCCCTTATGAGAAATATTTCACCAAGAAGTATTCCTGCGAAAAGCATCATCAGGAAGTATCCGAAATAACCGTCTGCAGTTTTTGTCAGATCAGTCTTGATTTTGTATCCCAGAAGAAACGCGAGTGCACATACGAGAAGGCAGACACACCAAACAATCACGGAAACAATTCTCACCTCATACGTCGCGAGTACGTATAAAATAACGGCCAAAAAGATCGCCTATGTGTATGTAGTAGAAATCAAAACAGAGGTGAGAATATGAACAGAAAATGAATTTTGAAATTACAAATTTGTTTTGTAAGCACACTTACTTCTGTTCATCATGATCACTCACAAGCCTAATTCGAGAAAATAATTGTGCAATATACTTTTAACGATGAAGTATGTAGAGTGAGATGGTTGGAGTCAAACAGTGGGAAATCTGCTTAGGTCTATGTTCTGTGCATGGTGCTAGTCATCCGGAATGCTTACCTGCGATCCAGCCTCAGTTCTTCGAACCTACGATATGTGGTGCTGTAGTAATATACCAACACACCAAGACATTCGGACTGATGATTGACGGACTTTAGCTCAGATTGAAACCTGAAGGCACCAGACCTCTGGATCATTCATCATTACTGAATAAGGACCCCTGAGTGGTTCACTTTTCCTTTACTAATCACGGTAATTCTAATAATGTCATCACCATCACTCATCATGTCGTTGTATGACAAATTGTGATTACCCTTTGTAGTATTTGTACAATTAAATAGGTAAAATAAATATACACACCACTCCTTATAGGCATGCACAGATATAACTTACATATAAGCATAAGAAAATGAATCCAACGAATGGTTTAGTCTGTGTTGCATCGACGAATAGCAGGACGAAGACAACTACAATGGCCAAGCAGCTGTATTCAGAAAAAGTTGGAAATGAAAATGAACCAGTTTGAAGTAGTTATCTTGTAATTAGAATTCCTTTATTCATCACATTCTATGCATAAATATTACCTTTATTTAGACAAAGCAATAAGAAGACGTAATTTGTCTGAATCGTGTAATGTATTTGCGCAACACATTTCGAACAATCTGATCACACACGGACTTGTCATAGGAATATATATATAAAAAATTAATAAAGAGGTAAGAGGTGAGAAAAATAGACTTAGGTCAAGTTAAAAGGACATATTCAAGGTCAAAAAAAAAAATGAAGACCACTAAACCAAATAGCAGAGGTAATAGTACATCTGCTATGGTATCAAAACAAAATTTACCAAGGAAGGTTTAATGTGATGACAAATTGTTTTTGAACGCATAAAGGTGACTTGAACATTCTAATTGCTAGGGCTTCTACAAACTTTAGGATACGCCCCAAACACGTTTTATAGATAGGTTTAAAAGATCTGTCAACATCAATTTTTTGACCTGTCTCTATAATATGTTTCGCAGTAGAAGAGCTAGGTCTCCTGTTCTCACCGTTAATAGGTTCTGATGATTCCATTTGTTTCTGGAGCCATTTTGGAATATGCTCTGAAGCCCTTACTTGCAGAGATCGATGAGTCCTCCCTATGTATGTGTGTCCACATGTACATTCAAATTGGTAAATACAGTGGGATGTGACGTCATTTTTCGCATGTTCGAAGGGCTTAGATAGATATAATGGCTTAACATTCTCTAATATTATGATATTAGCTGCATAAAAAGTCTTTTTAACAGCAGCGTTCAGCCTTTGTCTAGTTATCAAGCTGCTTTGATGTCCCATATAGGGTAGCTTGATGTACACGTCTTTCTTAGGGGCGAGTTGGAGAGTGGGTCTTGGTGTTCTGACTACTTTATATCTCCCGATGAACTTTACTGGATAATTGTTATCAACCAGAGTTTGTGTCAATATTTTTTACTCTTCATCAAGCGTGTCTTCAGTGCATATTCGTCGGATTCTATTGAAGAGGCACCTTACTAAGCCTCTTTTGTACCGAATAGGGCAGAAACTGTGGTAATTAAGATACTGTCCTGTCCAGGTAGGTTTTCTATAAATAGGTCTTTTTATTGACCCATCAAGCCATCGACTAAGCAATATGTCTAGGAAAGATAAACAATTATCTTCCTCTTCTACAGATGTAAGTGATATGCTATTCTGAACTTCATTCATTCGATTTAAAATTTAGGTGGCAGAACAAGACTTATCACTGATGACTACGATATCATCTACATACCTTCTATAAAGTGGCACATTCTCGATTAAATCTTCCGATAAATTCTCAATGTACGACATATAAATATCTGCTAAAAGGGGCCCTAACGGACTGCCCATAGCAACACCATCAACTTGGCGGAAACAGTCGCCTTCAAATGTAAACCTAACATTGTTAGTACATAGAAGTAATAAATCTTTTAAGTAAGATATAGGGAACGGGATGAAAAAATTGTTTGTGGAAATATAATCACACAAAATGTCAACTGTTTTGATCAAAGGCACATTAGTGAATAACGAGTTTACATCAAAAGAGTACATATTCTTGTTCATTATATTAATATTACTATCATCAAGAACATCAACCAATTCAAATGTATCTTTTAACACATACTTACAGAATTGTGTTTTGACTGGATTCAATAATTCCACTAACCATTTAGCAAGTTTATGCGTTGGGGATTTGCACATTGACAATATAGGACGTAGAGGATTATTGGGTTTATGTATTTTCGGCAACCCATACATATGTGGGAATTTACTATCTGACGGTTTTAATGAGTCCAGTTTATCTTTACTTATAGCATTTAGGCCATGAAGCTTCAGTAGATTAGCTGTCACTGTGCCCTGCAACAACTGAATATCTTCTGAGGAGGGATCACGACTAAATTTGCTCTTATCATCAAGAATAGACATCATTTTAGATTTGTAGTCACTTTTATTCATAATGACGACTCCAGAACCTTTATCAGGTTTAGTAATAATTATATTAGAATTTTCCCGTAGCTCTTTCAAGGCTTTGAAATGTTGGGAATTTAAAATACTCTTCTCCTTTGGGTTGTTGTTTAAAAACTGGTGAGCTATATCCACCATCTTGGCCTTAAACCAACCCCGATCTTCATCGGATGTTGCGGTAAGAGGTTTGAGTTGGCTTGGAATCAACCTCGAATTAAATTAACTTATGATGTTTTGACAATATATAATAATGAGTAACATGAGTAAGTGTGAAGCAATCAGGTGGAAGTAGTAGCTCTTTCTAGATGGTCGGTCTGAGTAAACCACACATAACCTGGAACTAAACCGACTGTAGGTGACATGGAATGTTGTGGTCACGGTGACTTGGCTAGCTAAACTGCTGCTTTACTTGAGTAGTTTCCAGATAACTCGTTTCAATCTTTGGCTAAGACCTAGTTGACTGCAACTGATTATATTAAGCACATTAATAATTACTTGTGTATTCTTCGTTTTCCTAGTGAAACTGTCGTGATCAGTGGGGAATTCGAAAATTGTTTCGCTATTCCTTCATACTGATGTGAAACTGAAAGCAGAATATTCGAACATGTTTTAAGCAAGCAAGTGTCCATCTTATGCTGTTGAGTTCTACGAGAACTGAATGCTATTATAGTTGTGAATACTGGTATGCACAAATGGATATTGAAAGACGTGAAATGGCATCATCGATTTCTCGCCAACACTCACATAGTAGATGTATCAATAAACATTATAAATTATACTTTTCATAATGCCAACAACGAATAATTAAGGATTCGTTATTCCTACCTGGAAATCAACACCACCAGGATTCCATATTTTGTTTTTATTTCAAGACCAAGCCTAAACATAAAAAACAATTTCTACTTTGAAAGCGACCTGAGATACTTACAAGTAAATACCCAACATCATAATAGCCGTGGTGATTATGACCAGTATCACTGTGAATGCAATCACCTAATACAATTATCTTCAACATAAATTCCACCTACTCGTCGGTAGTATTTAGAGTCGCTGATCACTTTTGACTGTTTATTTCTTCTTTCATCGTTCGTTGATTGTTTGTTGTGCCCATGATATGAAATGGGTTTGCATTTGTAAGAATGAAAATCTGTCTTCAAGTTATTGCAGCACAAAAACTTCAATGTCATATTCACAATCCCCGTCATCATCATCATCATCACCGACGAGATAATATACAGTTCAAAAGTTAGACTACTATGAATTTCACTTCTTAACTAATGTATTTATATACATATATTTTCATTGTCTATCTATCGTCGATTAGTTAGATAAACAACCAATCATGTACGACCAGCTTACATGGTTATATTCGAATGTCAGCTATGTATTTTCATGTGTGTCTTCAATTTAATTTCTACAATAAAGCCACTGAAATGTGAGTCTGAATGTGTGACAGACAAACAGATTGTAGGAAGTAATCTCATCTATTTGATATTGTGAGGAAATGAGTTATGTATATATTGACAGGAAATTAAGTGTCTATCAGTTATTCTTACCATTCCACAGATTTCAGCGGTATATTGAGACTGAACCTTTCTTAACATCTTACATGAAAACTTCATAATCGTCAATCAGTAGAAATTCGTGAACACATTGTTCATGATGTCACAATGAACTTCGTCGTTTCAGGATCATAAATCTGCACAGATCTCAAAATCAGCGCCCAATCAACACATTTCCAGTAGATGCATAATAACAAGCAACATCAGAGTTTCACCAATGACCTTCAGAGGGAGCGGCTCAACTGTAATATACTAAACAATGTAAACAACAAAATGAATAGTGACTGATGTTTAGTCACTATGAAGAGTTTATTTCTGGATGCCGGACAATACTGCACACATCTGATCTGGAAGTTTTGACTTTTTTTGGGTGCTCTACACACATAGTAACACTCACCTAGTACGTTTGAAGTTTCTTGCTATAATAATAATCGTCATTATTTTATCCTTCCCTCATCTCGATCCATGAGATAGAAATGCGTTGTGTAATTATTCAGCTACCAATGAAGAATGAACCATTATTAATTTATTGAGACATTTTTTCGGAATATCTGTTCTATCAGTTAACTGCTTATAAATAAGGTGGGTAATACTGCGAAGAACAGGTATGTAGTATGTTGTGTGACCTCCAGGATATCAAAGAGAGGAGTGGGGTGATTTCAATTTTCAGAACAATGCAAGTAAACTAGACATCAACATTAAAACCCAAAAATTCAAAGGAAGATGTTAACTAGGTGTACATTGATGAAACATTAAGTGACATCAACTGTTCTCCTGCAGATAGCCACCGGCGGCATGAATAGCTCTGTGGTAATATTTCCGAATACCCCATCATGTGACACGGAGTCTGGATTATTGTCCCGTTTAGTCTCCGAGTGGAACATAGGGCACCAACAACGCTTCACAATATTGTTCTTTTTTATTCTCCACATTCCGACGGCGTCCACGATTGCTGATAAACGGTTATCGCCCTCCTTCGAACTACCTTCCCCATTTCAGTCTCGCACTAAAGATAAACTTGTCGTTTCTTATTTGGCTTCCAGCTGAGTGATGAGCTGGTGTGCGACGTTATTTGATGTCATCCTTAGTGTGTGCTCAATTCACCTCCATGTTATTCTGCATAATTGTTGAGCAATGGGTTCTTCATTGCTTTATTTACAGAGTCTCTTCTTGCTTATTCGTTCTGGCCAGACGGCCATTAGACCTTCAATAAAGAAGGAAGGCAGTTGTCGATTAAATTCTACAGTGGTCTGTTGGGAATGCTTTTTGTGATGCTATAGCGAAGTATCTGACCAATGTAGAAGAACTGACTTCACATTTGTGCCAAAATAAGATTCTCCAACTAACTTCAACCAAATAACTCATCGTACGCTTTCCGTCATCCTAGAGGAATATGTTTCTGGTGTATTCTCTTTCGTTGATCGCTTTTCAAAGCAAAATAGCATATACACCTAGTAGCCAGATGAAAATCAAGATGGAATGAATATGCTCCAAGTAGACGCCTGACTAACATGGAGCATGTCCGAGGAGGACAGGAAACACATCGAGCGTACTGGAAGTTGAGGCCAATTGATTGTTCAAACATGAAAGCCCAGTTAAGGCCCAGTTATAATACAAAACACATCTCTGTAAATTTTGCAATTGGCGTTTTTTTACTCATGAGTAGTTGAGATAGAAAGCACCCATTTCATTAACAAAGGAATGTCAAAGGCTATACGTCTCGAAAAGGACAACAACCATAATGGAAAGAACGAAACAAATTGATAGGACACAACAAGCTTGTAATTGTGATTATACCTAACATAATGTAAATATTCTCTTCTGTTCCTTTGGGTTCCAGCAGCACATGGCGATTTCTCTCTTTCATCTAAAACCCATGTCAATTGGGTCCACCATTGTCAGAAGCCTTCATCGTCTCAAAGGCTGGTCGGGCAGTGGATTTCATTTAGTGGTTTGCTGTGTGTGTACCTAAACCACCTCCGATTCCCCCAGGATATTCGTGAGATGTTAGTCCATACTGTTTTAACTTTTCTTCACACGATCTCCTCCATGTCACCCTGGACGTCCCACACGGCGCTTCACTTTCCGATTCCACTCGAGGGCTTGACGCGCGATGTCACCCAGCGCGGTTATTTTATCCTATTGATCAACAGAAAAATAAACGAAGCCAGTACATCCATACATATTTCCCTACAATTCTCAGAACATCAGCCAACAATTTCTCTGTTGGATTATAAGGGGAACCTGACACAACTAGTGTCAATATCAGTGAAGACTGAATATTTATTTGAACCGATCTCCATTTTTGAGGGAGACAGTAATGGTTAATGTTGCTTAGTCGTATGCTGCTTGGGAGAGGACTGGGGAAACACGATCAAGAGTATCATCGTACATTTTATTGACGTCATTTTCAGACTTCGTACATGGAATAAACAATTGTACTCTCATTCCGTTTTCTGTTATTCCGGGTCAGTGATTGTGCACAGTGTTCTGCGTGTTAACCATAGTTCTCTGAACCCAGATACAGGTTCAGGAACTTCGGATTCTGAACATTGAACAATTGGATGGAGTGAGAGATGAAATTTGGTCGGTTGGCCACATTAGTCGGTTCTCTGTAGTTTCTTTTCTTCAGAAAATTCAGATTCGTCTGGGAGTATGTTCGTCGTCTTTCTATGTGCACCATGCTGTGTGAAATATCATCCAGGACACTGAGAATAACTGGGAGATGATACAGTTCGACTACTGACTTGTCCTGACTGGCATGCACCTGTAGTCCACTTGCAAAGAAGTTAGAGTGAGTTCGTGTTGTAATCCACAGATTTGATTTGAAGTTTGAAACCGCAGCCAACGGAGAAAAGCCGGTGCATCAACATAAAATTACTCCTTTTAATCGCAACTTACAAGCAAAGTCACTTCTAAACCTTGTACGGTTCACCAGCCAGTAGTGAGCTTTCCAATGAGGGAGGATTAAAAGTGGAGGCAACCCTTCAAACCCGTGAAATTAACACCACGGTTGATAATTTTTTGATGCTGAAACCTCTATTCTCAACTCAGAACTGAAACGAATCCGAAATCTGTATGGGCGTCTGGGTTCTTCAGCATAACGAACAGGAACCAGATCTTTAGCAATAACACCAGAAACCAGTTAGTCCTTCTACATGGAACACAGATATGGTGTGTCAGTCACCAAAAGCGTTTCCAGATTTCTTCAACAGTCGCTTTCGATCCACACTGAAGATCCAATGTTTATAATAAATAAGCCTTTCACCTACTTACAACGTATGACCTTATGGTTATCCAGGAGAAATCGGAGGTGGATCTCACATACACTGAGTAGACCACTGAATGGAATCCATCGCCGAACCAACCCTTGAATCGATGAAGGCTGAGGACATCTTTGACGTAATTGATATGGGGCGAAGATGAAAGGGAGAAATGTCAATGTGCTTCAGTATCTCAAATGAACAGATGAGAATAATAATTATACACCTATCATTTTACTGAACATATGACTCCGAAACACTAATTCGAATCACCACACGCTTATTATTATGGATTGGGTCACAAGCTGTCATGATTTAGAGAAACGTTGTGAAAGTTGGGTGAATTGAATAGCTGTTAAATCTAGTTTCGGACTTTTCAGCACATTTGTTTGAATCCAGGACCTTCACATTAGAAGAAGACCATGTGGACAATGCAGTTACGGTGAGCAGAAGCAATGCCTTATGAATTTCAACTTGTGTCAATTTGATACATGCATGATTATGACAACTCATTGGTTTTCCTAATATCCTCATATTTAGAGAAGTCTAAGAAGATGAACTCGCCAAAGTGTGACTCTTCCCCGAACTATTTGTTTTGTTCCTTTCATTATTTTTATTGTTTCACTTTGAGGATAATTCTTTTGGGTTATCCTGTTTATAAAGTCTTCACTTTCTAGTTCAACCACTCGCGAGTAAAAGTCAGAGAATTTGAAAACTCTATTATCCTAATGGTCGATTCTCAAAGCTTGGGGATTTTCGATTTTGAATAAAATCGACAGAAAATTTGAGGAAGAATATAAATCGTCATGAATACTTTCGCTCTCTTTCGGTCATTGGGAAAAACATTTGTACCTTATATTCCTTGAATCAGGAAGAAAATATTAATGTATGTGTAAATGTCTGTGGTAGTAAATAATTTCATATTAGTTTGCTTGTTATATATATATATCACACGGTGAAACATTATTGTTTACGGGATGACAAAGTTTCGATCAAAATTTATTGTTCATAATTATATTGATTG